CCCACTGAAGCAGGGGCTGCAGCCTACACTGTCGCTGGTGACTCATGGCAGCCCAGCTCCAGGTTGAGCTGCTGTTCAGCATCTTAGCTGTAGAGGGCAGTGTCACTGGCCTTCATATGTGGGATCCGAACCGGGGCCCTCTGGCGTCCCAAGCCAGCTCTTAACCACCGCGCCACTCGGCTGGTCCCTGAACTGCACATTTTAAAATGGTGATTTTATGTTATGCAAATATCTCAATAAAAAATATTTAAAAAAATAACCTGTGATTTGAGTGACCTAACTTTTCAAAGCTTTTAAGTTTCCTCATCTGTGAAATTTGCATCTTGGAGTAGCAATCATTCTAAATAAATAATTACAGCTATTCTTCCGGGAGCATCCTTTAGCTAGGCTTATGGTAAGGAATGGAGAGGTCAGCCATTCCTGGCCAGTCTTCCCTTTCTCTAAGCCTATCTGGAGTGATGGGTCCAGGAGTGTTAGAGGTACATTATTCAACTCTTATTTTGTTAATAAGGAAATCGAAAGCCTTGAGAGAGGACTAGGCTTTTTAAAGTCACAGAATGAGTCAGTGGCATAGTAGGGCCTATAATCCTGTTTTCTTCTATCTAGTAGTACATGTGCTTTTCTAGACTGGATTACACGAAACAACCCCTCCTAAACCTACTGACAGCCCCTGCTCCCAATGAAAGAAGCTAGATTCCTTCCACTGATGTTTGAAATCAGGACCATTTAACAGGCATATTGGAGGTGACCCATTGCAAATATCAGTTTATCTGTACCTACCCAACAATTGAGAATGAAGGCTTTGAATAGGCTTGCCTCCTTCATTCCGGCATATTGAAAAATTAGGTAAAAGTAGATTTCCTACAAAACAGTTGCCTATATTCTGTACCAGAGCTAAGCCTGGTGGGCATACTATGGACAAGAACCCAGGCTGGGGTCTTTTGGAGATTTTTAAAAATGAGTCAAGTTTTAGTCCCATTCTCAAAGAGCTTGAGTTTAATGAGAGTAGAGGTGTACAGAAATAATACAGCCTAGAATGTAGAAACTCCCACAGGCATGGAAGGTAACCAATGGTTTGGGGGTTCCAAGTAGGAAAAGAGTCTAGTTGAAACATCAAAGAATCCATGGAGGGAATGGCATTTGAACTGGGTGGTAAGGGACAAGCAGAGGGCACAGCAAGAATGAAGGTGCAAAGGCCAGAAAGAATGAAAAATGTTAAGGTGGAGATTAGAGTATATGTAGAGAAATTGTAAGTAAGAAGTTAGAAGATGTATTGGGGCCAAGTTCTAGAGAGCTAGTAATGCCGGGATTAAGAAAAATTGTTAAATTTTTGAGGGGTGGGTGGGGGTAAGGACAGTCACTTTTATACTCTCTGGTATAAGATTGGAGAACAAAGTTAGCACTATTTATCTAAATCCTTAGACAGCTGCAAGCTCTTTGGGCCTGGGTTTCAATTTTAGGTGTTTTTACTATGAAATATAAGGCTGTTCATTACAGCATTATTTATAATACTAGAAAATTAGAAACAATCTAAATATCTAACTGTAGAGCAGTGGTTCTAACTGTAGAACCTGGGTGATTTTGCTCCCAGGGGAACATTTGGACATGTCTGGGGACATTTTTGGTTGTTACAACTTGAGGGAGGGTGCTACTGGCATCTAGTGGGTAGAAGCTAGGGATGTTGCTAAACATCCTAGAATGTACAAGACAGCCTCCACAACAAAGAACCACTGGGCCCAAAATGTCAATAGTTTTAAGGGTTTTTTTGGGGTTTTTTTTTCTCCAGGAAAAGATTTAAATATACAACAAATATTGGGAATGGTAATATCTGGGATTATGTTTGATTTTATTTTTTTCTTTTGTGTCTTCCTGTTCTCTCCCTCTCTCTCTCTCTCTCTCTCTCTCTCTCTCCCTGAATATAATTCACTTTTTAATGAGAAATATGTGAATGATAGAAGGACACTGCTGTGCACAGATGACAGTCATATGTCTTTTTATATTTTTAAAATATTAAGCAAGAATATATGGGACTTGGTATTAGTCAGCATCCTCCAGAGAATTGGCTCATGCAGTTATGGAGGCGAGGAAGTTCCACAATCTGCCGTCTGCAAGCTAGAGAGCCAAGAAAGCCACTGATGCACTTGTAATTCAGCCTGAGTCAGAAGGCCTGAGAACCTGCAGGGCCCATGGTATAAGTCCTGGTCTGAATCTGAGAACCAGGAGTGCCAATGTCCAAGGGCAGGAGAGGACAGACGTCCCAGCTCAGGCAGAGGGCAAACTCACCCTTTCTCCACCTTTGTGGTCTATTCAGGCCCTCGGTGGATTGGATGATGCCCACCTGCACTGGTGAGGGTGATCTTTACTTACTCTACTGATTCAAATGCTAATCTCTTCTGGAAACACCCTCACAGACATACGCAGAAATAATGTTTTACTAGCTATCTAGGCTTCCCCGAGCCCAGTCATGTTGGCACATAAAAATAACACTCACAGACTTACAATTAAAAGAAAAAATTTACTGTGCATCAAGGCTATGCCAGGCAGCATTACAAGGCTTAGGGAATCAGCCCTGACAGGTCCATCCCTTCATGGAACTCACAGTATAGAGGTGAAGACAAGCAATAGACAAGAAAGCAAAAAACAAACAAGATAATGTCTAATAGTACTAAACGCAATAAAGAAAATAAATAGGGTGACATGACAGATAGGAACGGGCGTGAGGGTGGTTGGGGGCTACTCGGGGGTAAGACAGCGAAGGATAACTAGCATGAGCTGAGACCTTGAGACCTTAAGCTTGAGAAGGAGATGGTGTATAGAGAGCTGCGGAAGAGGAACCCAGACAGAGGGCTCATATCAATCATAGTGGCAGTGTTTGGAAAAGTTCAGGTTGCTGCATGGTCTGCCCAGACCAGGGGGTCACCTGTGTACACAGCGCTTAATGGGTTCAGTACCGCCAGAATTTATTACATGCTACAATAAAGGAAGTAATCTACTTTTCATTAAAGTTCATTTACAAAGTTCAAAGTACCAGTGATGGTCTATAACCCTGCATTCTTCAGTGCTTACAACATAGCAATGTTGGGCTCTAGCAGATACTTTCAGGGAAGTTCAAGTACATTTTATCTGGCAAGAAAGTGTTCTCTCCCCTGCCCTGCCCCTGCTCCCCCAACCCCCCCTTCCCCGGTGTGTTGGAGGGGCACTTCAGGGAGGATTCTGGTGTTTCGGGATTCACTAGAGCTGATAACATCTAGACTATTGTGTACATGTCTGACTGACAACCCAAGAAGGAAGAGACTGTGCTAGAAAAAGCACATTAAAGTGCTGAGAGAAAGATCCAGGGGGATTGATGGGTAATAGATTTTAAAGTTAAGCCTCTATGGAATGAACAGAAATGAAAATATTAACTAGAGGTTAGCTCTCTGCGTAGAAGACTAGGATGGTCTTCCTTGCTTATTTCCTATAGCGGACATGTATTTTGTAATAAAAGAAAAACTACAAAAAGTGTAATTATGAGGGCCCTCCGACTTCTACAATTAGAGAAGGGTGGAAATCTAAAGCTGGAAAAGACTCTGATGCAGACGTGAGATCAGGGCCGTACGTGCCAGTCTCGTGATGCATTCAAAGGAAGCAGGCTGAGTGGTGAGCATGAGACGTGAAGCCCCAGCTTGGAGATGCCCTGGAGAAATGGAGGGAGGGGATGAGAAGTGGGTGGGCGGTCCCTCTCAGCTCAGGCCAGTCTTGCCGTTCGTGGAGGAACGTGAACACCGTTATTAGGTGATTGTGATTCTCCAAGAGAAGCCAGACACATCTCCTAAGCAGTAAATGTAGAATTCTATGTCAAAGGTTGAGAAACACCCTACAAGGCAGAGAAAAACATCTACAGGAATAGGTTGTCTCTGTGCTGCCACTGTGCAGCCTCTGCTTCAGTGCCTTTTTTTTTTTTTTTCAGTTGAGCTCACTTCCTGCTCTGTGCAGAAATCTCTTCTCAACTGTTAGTGGACCAAGGTGAAAAGAGATCTCTCACCTTCTCCCATCTGGGGCCCAGCAGCAGTTGGCACATTCTGATCCTCATAATCCTTGTTCATGGGGAATATTAATGATTTAATCTCCCAAGCCCCATTCCCTCTCCTCTGTGACCATATCAGAGAGATTTACAGACAAGACCCAGAGAAGGCCAGGTGGAGCAGAACGCATGCTGAATTGGTTTTGCCACAGACGGCAAAACTGCCTTGGGAAGTCCAGCCTCAGCCCCTCCACAGAAGTAGCCAGTGGACTTCCCAGTCATGGCCGAAGTGACGGCAGAGGAGGTGGAGAAGTTCCTGGACTCGAATATTGGCTTCGCCAAACAGTATTATGACCTCCGCTACCGGGCCAAGGTCATCTCAGACCTGCTGGGGGCCAAGGAGGCAGCTGTGGACTTCAGCAACTACCACTCACTGAGCAGCGTGGAAGAGAGTGAAATCATCTTTGACCTCCTGCGGGACTTGAAGGAGAATTTGCAGGCTGAGAAATGCATCTTCAACGTCATGAACAAGCTGTGCTTCCTCCTGCAGGCAGACCGCATGAGCCTGTTCATGTACAGGGCCCGAAATGGCATCCCGGAGCTAGCCACCCGCCTCTTCAATGTCCACAAAGATGCGGCCCTTGAGGACTGCCTGGTGATGCCCGACTCGGAGATTGTGTTCCCCGTGGACATGGGTGTGGTGGGCCATGTCGCACACTCTAAAAAGATCGTCAACGTCCCCAACACAGGAGAGGTACCCTCTTCCCCATAAAAGGGAGGGCAGGAAAGCATTAATCTATGGGGTTCTGGGGTGCAAGTGAGGTGGGGAGCTGCTGGCCATGGAGACTGGACTGGTATTGATTTAGGGCTTCTCCTTATTTATTGACTTTTCTATAACATTTTTTTTAATCAAACTTAACAGTTGAGTATAAAAATAGTAAAAAGAACTGTGTATCTCTCATCTAAATTCACCAGTTGTTCACACCTTGCCACATCTGCTTTATGTCTCCATTTTTTCTGACCCACTGGGGAGTCACTGGCAGACAACATGTCCCTTTAACCCTCGACGCTTTGCTGTGTATTTCCAGAACAAGAACATTTCATACATATCCACAGTACAATGAAGAAACGCAGGAAATGTAACCTTGATACAATACTATTCTCTAATGCACAGTCCATATTCCATTTTTGCCAGTCGTCTCAATGGGGCCCATAGAGCACTGTCGCTTCAGTCTACTTGAATCTGCATGAGTTCCTCAGTCTGTCTTTGTTTTTCATGATGCGGATGTTTATAAAGTGTACAGGCCAATTATTTTGCAGAAATGCCCCTCCATTTGGGCTTGGGCTTGTCTGACATGTCTTCCTGATTAGATTCAGGTTGTGTGTTTCTGGCAGGAATATCACAGAGGTGATGTGTTTTTTGTTGTTCATTACATCAGGAGACATATGAGTATGATGGCAGTCTGTCTCATTACTGGAAATGTTAACCTTGACCACTTGGTTAAGCACTTGGCTCTTTCTTCTAAGAGTTCTGTGGGTTTCCACTGGCAGCTCTGACAAAGACCCCTTTGATCTCTGGGGACAAATCACTGCATGCAGTTCCCATAGCCCTCTTTCTGGCCAAGTCCCACTCATCTTGCAGAGCTCAGCTTAAAAGTCACTTCCTCAAGGAGGCCATCCAGATCCTTTTGTTATAGTCTTCATCTTAAAACCAGTTTTCACAATAAGCCCTGGAGGCCAGGGACCGTGCTTGCCTTGATCTCTACTTTATCCCAGGACCCAGCAGATGTCTGGCACAAAGCAAATGCTTGGTAAACACTTGCATAAAAGACTCAAAATCAAGGAATTATACAATACAGTTGACCCTTGGGTTTGAATTGCACAGGCTTTAAAAATCCATGTGTAAGTGGCCTCTCTCAGTTTAAACCCATGTTGTTCAAGGGTCAGCTGTAATTCCTTTAACACCTGTCTTACCCGAAAAAATGTTTGCCCCATGATGGCAAGGCCCGTGTGGGTCTCACTTACTGCTGCACTGGCCAACACAGGAGCCTGTGTTCGGTCAGTTCCAAGATCCAGCCTGGATATTTATGAGTTTGTGCTCGCCTTACCTCTGACCTTATTTCAAATTGAGGGTCTTAAGGTTAAAAGGATGGGATGGAGGGGGCTTTAGAGATCATCTCATCCAACCACCTTTATTTAATGAATGAGAAGCCTGGAGCTAGTAGAGCTTGGGAAGGGGCTTGCTCAAAGTCGCCAATAAGTTAAGGCAGAGCCAGATTTCACACCCATAGATGCGGGAATTCAAATGGGTCATGTTTTTGACTTGGGTTCCTTGGCAAGATAAGAAACATAGGCTTGGCCTCTGTGGAGATGGTTTTCTTAGAAACACAGTGGGCTGGACCTCCCAATGAGTTCCTCTCCCTCATTTCCCCTGGAACACCCAAGGACAGGGGTGATGGTTCTGCACCCAGGGGACTCTCCTGAGGACTCATCCAACTGGACTGGAGTCTGTTCTGTCTTCAAGTCTCTCTAGACTTTAATTGTAGCCAACATGGATTGTCACGGTCTTATGACATACTCTGATTATCCCCGTTTTACAGATGATGAAACTGAAACCCAGAAAGGTTAAGTAACTTGTTCAGAGTCACACTGATAGGAAGTGGCAGAGTGGGGATGCGAACCGGGGCACTCTGGCCTTATGCCCATGCTTTTCACTGCTCTGCTATTCCATACCTCCTCCGTATCTATAATGAGGACACAGTACTGGGACCAAAGGCCACTTCCATTCATAGGGAAGAAAGGTAAAACGTGCAGCTTTGAGGTCAGATCTGGGTGTGAATCATGACTCGGCCACTTTCTAAGAACGCGATTTTGACAAAGTATTCAGCACGTCGGAGCTCACTTGTTAATTTATACAATAGGGTGAGAATACCTACCTCCGCAGTGTTGTAGGATTAAACAAGAGAGTTATTTCTCACCGGGCGGGGTTCAAGGCACGTTATAATAGCTCAGTGCCAGCTCCTTGTAACTGTTATTACTGTTTTGTTGTTGTTGGGATGAATGCTGCACCAGGTCTGCCTGGGGTTTGGAGAAGAATCTAAGTTCCCCCTTCTGCAGCTTTCAGTTTAGTTTCTATTTGTAGAAAAAAACAGAGAACAGAGGTGCCCAGAGCTCCTCTGAACCCTGGTGTTGAGGGACTGAGTATCTAGGATGGGTTTTGAGTCTAAAAGATCCTGGCCTAAGAGTTTGCTGAGCCCCGTGCTAAGGGACAGCCTGCTGTGTCCTGTTCAGCCGCCCGTGTTCACTCTGAAAGTGATGCTTGTGTTTCTCTGAAGATTCCAGCCTCGGGCATGTCCTTGGCTGGTGACTCAGGCCTGGAGGGGAACTCAGTCCAGGCCAGCAGTCCTTGTATACTTGGCTTTTGTATGTGTTTGCTTCTCCTGCTGTTCCTTCCTGAGAAATCTTACTCTATTTGGGGCTCTGACCATGACTGGAGGGGGTGAGGAGGTTGGATGAAAAAGGAGGCGGAAGATGGTATAGGCTGGGGCCTGGGTTGTCCCTGAACCACCAACAAGTGGTACTCTGAGCCTTGCATGCCCTCAGACAACCTGGGAAATGGTTACAATCATGGCATTTTTGAAACGGGAAACCATTTTTGAAATGGAGAAGTTGCAATGTAGCTCCCCGCCCCATGCTCTAGCAAATTCCTACTCGTCCGTGGGATCTCCTCAGGAAGACTTGCCGTTAGGATTGCCAGATAAATTTGTTAGATAAAGGAATAATATTTTAGTATAAGTAAGTATGTCCTGTGTAATATTTAGGACATACTTATACTAAAACATAATTTATTTACCTGAAATTCAAATGTAACTAGGCATCCTGTGTTTATCTACTAAACCTGGCAAACCTACTTGCCATTCAATATTTATTTGTATATTAATTCTTTACCATCTCCTAGTAGGAAAGTCCATGAGGACTGTCTGTTCCTATCTGTCTTATTTATCATTGGTGTCTGGCACCTAGTCCAGTGCCTGGGACAGAGTGGATACTTAGTACAGTTTATTGAATGAATGAATAAATGGTGGCCCTTCCCTAGTCAACGGTGATATTATGCTCTATAATCAGAAATATATATTTGGTAGCCCTGATCCCTGACACAGGGCTCCCAAGACCTTTGCAGTTCCCTGAGTGATAGAAGTGTCTGATACAGAGCTCCTAAATCCTTTGGAATGTCCTGGGTGGTGAGTGTGCTTTTTTTTTCTAATGAGGCAACTCTTGCTGGGCCAGGATGGGGGATGGTCATCAGAATGACCAAGCCATGATTAAAAGCTTGGGACTTTCATCCCTACTTCCCATTTTCTGGAGAGGGGTGAAGGGCTGGAAATGGAGTATAATGAATCATGCCTATGTAAAGAAGTCTCCATAAAAATCTCAAAGTGTGAGGTTCAGAATGCTTCTGGGCTGGTGAACACATCCACATGCCAGGAAGGTGGCCCATCCTAACTTCATAGGGACAGAAGTGTGTTGCTCAGGACCCTCCTAGACCTTGCCCTGTGTATCTCTTCATGTGGCTGTTCATCTGTAGCCTTTTTTACATGATAAACTGGTAAACATAAGCAAGTGTTTCCCTGAGTTCTGAGCGCTGTTCTAGCAAATTATCCAACCGAAGGAGGGGATGGTGGGAACTCCAGTTTACAGGTGGTCAGTCAGAATCACAGGTGACAACCTGGCATTTGCTATTGGGGTCTGAAATGGGGTCAGTCTTGTGGGACTGAACCCTTAACTTGTGGGATCTGTTGCTAAGTACAGGTAGATAGTGTCAGAACTTAATTGAATTGTAGGACACTCTAACTGGTGTTGGAGAGTTGGTCAGTGTTGGAAAAAGTACCCACACATCTAGTGTCAGGTATGTGGTAGTAATGTGAGAGTAAAGGAAAACTGAATTTTACCTAGAAACCAAGAAATCCCATTTCTGAAGACTAAACCTGAGAGGACTGCTATTTCCAGAGACTCTTACATCGGTTGTCCTACTCTCTTGCTCTCTCTCTCTCTCTTCCTATGAGAATGGGAGCTCAGTACTCTAGGCCAGAAAGGAACCTTAAAGATAATTTGGTTCAACACCCTGATTTTACCAAAGAGGAAACTGAAGGCTAGAGAGGTTTCAACTACTGACAATATACTGATTGTCCCTTGAAGACACTCAGAGATCAAGTCCCTCCCACCCTGAGGCTCCAGGATACCACTCATCCCATAGGGGCGTCTACATTAGGGTTTGAATTGTGGGTTCGTGTTTTACATGGTGTCTTCACTATACTGTGAGAATCCAGTGAGAACAACCTCAACTTTCTTACTGGTCTTGGCATATCCAATGCTTCTCACAGAGCCAGTGCTCAGTAAATATGAATGAATGAATGAATGAATGAGTGAATGAATAAGTGTATGGACAAATGAATGAATGAAATGGAGCCAGCAAAGGAATTGTCTATAAAACAGGGAAAGTGACAGGGCTGATGTTAGAGTTAATGAGATAATATATATAAAGTGTCTGGCTCTGGGCCTAGCACATCATTATTATTCAATAACTAATAGATCTCAGCATGACATACAATGGAGCTTGGCACTGTGAATGTTTGAAAGAGAAACTGAGGAATCTGGGGAGGAAAAGCAGTGTTGCATTGCACTGGAATAAAATTAAACCCTTCATGGTGGCCTCTAAGGCCCACCTCTCTAACTTCTCTGCTCTACACTCTCCCTCTCCCTCCCTGTTCTTCAGCGACACTGGCCTTTCTGTTCCTCAGATCATGGCCTCTCCTGGCCGTTGCCTTCTCTGTGTGTCCCGCTTGGAATGTGCGCCCCATGCCTGGTTCCTCTGATCCTTCAGCTCTCAGCATTACCTCTTCAGAGAAGCCTCCCTGGCTGCCATGATGAGCTACAGTAGCTTTGACCTGCCATCCCCTCCTAACACCTTCTAGAGCATCATCTAGTTTAGGTCCTTCAAAGCGGTTACCACAACCTGAAGGGAGAATGCTTAGTTGTTTACCTGCTTTTTGTCTGCCTACCCCATTGGTCTGCTTTTCCGGTTTCACCAGGGGAAGAAGTTAGCCCCTCCTGTTCACTGCTGCAGCCCTAGGGTCTAGAACAGTGCCTACCATACTTCAAGAACGTGCTCTGTTAATGTTAGCTGAATGAATAAATGACTTGGGGCTTTTCCTAAATGGGTGTCTGAGTCCTGGGCTTTAAAATAAATAGTTTGAGCCACATAGCTTCTAAGGCCCCTTCTGCCTCTGAAAATCTTAGGTTCTGTGACATGGTTGTTTAGAGGATTTCATATGCTGAAAATACAAGGATGACAATGATTGTGCAAACGCCAGTCAATTGGTTGTGGAATTATTTGTGAGGCGAGTTCCAGGGCTGAGAGCTCAGCGGGAAAGAGGGTTGTGGTAGATCTAGTAACATCTGGCTCAGATCCAGGTGAAATTTAAGTATTGCTTTCCCTGGTAAAGGTAAATATTGCAAGACTGAAGTGACCTCAGAAAGGAACCTGAGCTTGCCCCACCCAGACCGGGGTTCAGGGACACATCAGTGTCCTTAGAGAATGACATGAAAAACACTTTGCCGCTAATGCTTCTTTAGAGATTTTGCTTAATCCCCCAATGCTAATTCAAGCACAGACAAGGCTTATCTTAATTCCTTTGCCCTTCACCTGGTTTGAGATAGCTTCATTGAAAACAATGCTGTTGCCAGTTTATTGAATTCCACTCCAAGTGGAAGAATTCCATAGATGCATCTGTTCTGTATCGTGGGAAAGGTTCTGCACACTCATAGCTTGCAGAGCTCTCTCAGTTGGCTCTGTGAAATACATTTCCATCCTCAAAACAGCATGAACTGTGCATGTCTGGGCTGGCTTGTGTCCCAAGCAATGCTGACAGTTGGGAAACCTCACACGGCTACCAGGTAACAGAAAGGTGGATTCTTTTGGATTTAGGGCAACAATTCAGGATCTGTCCCCTCCTTCTGACCACATGGACTGCACTGCCCTGTACTGGCCTCCTAGGCTGCTTTAGGGGTAGAGTGTGTGTGTGTGTGGAGGGGGGCGGGGGATACGGTGGGGTGGGGGGATTCTCCTCTGTACTCTCAGAGCTTTCAGCCAACCCCTATGTCGTGTACTACTATTATTGGTTTTGCTGTGAGCTGACCTGAAAGTTGGTCTCTCTTGTATCCTCAGTGTTTAGCATAAGACCTGGTGAAGCGTGGGGCTCCCATTAAGATCTGTGGAATGGGGGTATCCATTGGACTGTCTGTGTGGAGCTAGAACTAGATTGTTAAAAAAGCTGAAAGTAATACGTTCTTTTGTTCAATGACCTGGACCCAGGTCTAACCTCCTCCAGGCTTCCCCGAAAAGCAGCAGAGCTGAGAGCAGGTTTTGGAATCAACCCCCCACCCCCACCCCCACCCTATACACACACACACACACACACACACGTAAGAAGTAACACTAACCTTCTTGAGTTTTAAGTCCTCTTCTAGAAGATGGGCTACTGACAGTCTCTATCTCAGGTTACTGGGAAGATTAAAGTGAGATTTTGCAGGTAAAGTGCCAGGCATAATGCCTGCTAAGCAATTGTGATTTTTATACTCACAAAGGTCTTTTCCTCACTCAAGCCTCTATTTTGGGCTTAACTGTCATCACCTCAAGAGAGCCTTCTCTAAACTTTCCGCCCCAGGCAGTCAACCACCCATACCCTCCTCCCAGGCCCCCTACAGTGCTTTGCTCACATCTCCTCCTTAGCCCTCAGTAGGCTGACTCTCAAACTTTCTTCTTCTATTGGACTTTAGAGGCTTCCAGGGCAGAAATCCTCTCTGACTGCCTTGCCCCTACTGAAGGGGAGGAGATGGAAATGTCTTCATTCTCTTGTCAACAAGAGAATAGCTAGCCCCCTCACCCAACCCGCTACCATGGGCACACGGTGCTCTGGTTGTTTTCTTGTCTTTGCTCTTCATTTGCTCGCCCATGCTTATCTCTGTCTTCCTTCAGGATGAGCATTTCTGTGATTTCGTGGACAACCTCACAGAGTACCAGACCAAGAACATCTTGGCTTCCCCCATAATGAATGGGAAGGACGTGGTGGCCATAATCATGGCCGTGAATAAAGTGGATGGGCCCCACTTCACCAAGAGAGACGAAGAGGTAAGAGCGCTTGAGAAACTGCTGGGGTGGCCGTGCCAGCACGTTCTCCTGGCTCAGGAAGTCCTCGGAACCTTGCTCTTTGGCCTGGCTTCCCCATCTGCAAGACAAGGGGGTCAGTCTGATGCTCTCTAAGGGAGGGAGGTCAGAATAATGGTTAAGACATTGGCCTTTTGGAGCCAAGAACATAGGGACGATTATTCTGGCTCTGCTATTAATGGTATCTAGCTGACTTGGGCAAGTTACTTAATTTCTCTGAACCTCTGTTTTCTTATTTGTAAGAAATAGTTACGAGGGACTTCCCCTAGCTCGGTGTCTGATTCCTGGGCTTTAAAATAAACAGTTTTAAAACGGGGATGATTTTACAACCTCTAGCTTTTGGAGTAACTTGTGGTGATCAGGTAATATAGCATACGCGTACATAAATGACTTATCACGGGGACTGCAAAATAAATAATAGCTATTTTTCATTAATACACCCCTATTGACATTGACATTCTACATTCTGTGTTTTATACTCCTGTAATGCAACATTTTATGTGTCAGCATTCTATGACTTAGCTGCTCAAATTGCCTCTGATGAAGCTTTAAAAATGTTCAGACATTTCCTGGCGGTAGACGTGGCCAGGGGAGGGGTTTCTCTTCATCTTTTTCCTCTCATTGCTGTTCGATTTTCAGATTCTTCTCAAGTATCTCAATTTTGCAAATCTAATTATGAAGGTGTTCCACCTGAGTTACCTGCACAACTGTGAGACTCGGCGTGGCCAGGTAAAGTGTGTGGTTCAAGGGAATGAACTGGGCACATCCTTTCACTGAAGCATTGATGTGGTCAGGCTGAAAAGGTGGGTGGAAATAAAAGTGCCTGGCAACCAGCCTACAGTCCCTCCCCAGAATCCCTGGTGTTATGAGGTAGTGGATGTTTGTAAAGCTATATTCCAGAGTGATTATCTGCACAAGTTTTCAAGTCAGACAGCTTGGGTTTGAATCCCGGCTAAGCCATGTATTCGCTCTAAGACCCTGAGCAAATCACTTAGTCTCTCCAAACATCAGTCCCCCCATTTGAACAATGGAGATAATTATGGTTCCACCTTCAAAAGATTATCATCAATAGTAAATGAGATCATGTATGTAGAGCACTTGTACTCAATGTTTGTTATCATTATTCTCTTTAACAATCTATGAGATAAAAGAAATGGAAGGAGTTGTAGGCTGGTGAGCTATTTCACCTCCCTGAACCTCAGTTTCTCCATCTATAAAATGGGGATAGTTATCCTTCTCTATCTCAGGGTTACTGTGAGAGTTAAATGAGATAAACTCTAGAGAACTTACAGAGTGGCTGTTATTCTCTAGGTAGTGAGCTCCTGCTTTGTGCCTCAAAAACTTTGACTGTGTTTTTGTTTCTTCAGATACTGCTGTGGTCTGGGAGCAAAGTCTTCGAAGAGCTTACGGACATTGAGAGACAGTTCCACAAAGCCCTGTACACAGTCCGGGCCTTCCTCAACTGCGACAGATACTCAGTGGGACTCTTAGACATGACCAAGCAGAAGGTGAGAAAGGAGTGGACCTTTCCAAGAATGGGCTAAATATACACAGAGAGGATCCCAGACTGGTATCACCCATTCAGTTGCACAAGAAAGAGGCTGGGAGGGTGTGGATAGCTGTGCCAAGTTTTTCACACTTTTATGCTAAAGAGAGGAGCACTAACCTTTAAAAGAGAAAAGTCAATCTAGGGCTCAGGTGAGTCAAAACAATCCGTATCTGGGCTGGCCGAGTGGCGCAGTGGTTAAGAGCTGGCTTGGGACGCCAGAGGGCCACAGTTCGGATCCCACATATGAGGACCAGTGACACTGCCCTCTACAGCTAAGATGCTGAACAACAGCTCAACCTGGAGCTGGGCTGCCGTGAGTCACC